ATGAGTTATTGCTCAGTGAGGGGTTGACAGCTTGCTTATATGAGGACTTTTCAAATTCATATTTTGAAATGTTGACAATATCAGACTGATTTGTGTCAACAGATGACCACAAAACATTCCAGAATTCACCAAATCCATGTCTGTGCTGCTCTTTTCCAGAGCAGAAATTTCCAGAAATTCCAGTTTTTGAATGATTGCAAACTAGAAGTTTTGTGAAAATCAAAGTTTGGCCAGAGCGGGTAGACCAAAATACAAACAAACCGCTGAAGTCAAGAGCACTCACTTCTCTGTCCTCTCGTCCTCAGTGGTTATCTAGTTACAGTGCTAACCAGCTGCTGCACAGTGATACTGACGCGGTTTAGAGCCCAATAGCACAATGTGAAAAGAGACCTGCGATGAGAACAGAGCTGTGTGAAAGCAAGCATTCTGGTGATGCAAGTGGTGGATTTATGTGTAAAACACAGTAAAGTGCTGCTTGTGTGAATAACACATTGTTATTTACTGCAAAAAAGTTGAGCAAATGAGCAGGTTTTGTATGCATAATATATAAGGTTATTATAGTTAACTAAAGTAAACCATAAAATATTTAACATGAACCACTGAAAACCATAAAAACCATTACTTGAAAAATAAAATCAGCTAGTTGCCAACATTTCTCATTTTAGTTTAGTTAGTTTAGTTAGTACATTTAAGAAAATACCCGAGAGTGGCACATACGGCTGTATTTATGGCAGAGGCGGGGCCTATAACAGGGGGCGGAGCTTTAGACTCTATTTTTTGTAGTTAAAGTGAGGGTTTTTTTCTCTTAAATTTGAGATTTTGTGGAAGGCTCTGAAAGCTCATTATAATGACCAATAAAACTCTTCAGAGCGTGTGAAGTATGATAATGTTTTTTTCAAATCTCGTTCCGATTATTGAAGTTCAACTGAGAGAAAATTGTGAATGAAAGGAAACGCATCCTTTGTGCACTAAATGAGTTTCTGAAGATCTTACAGTAGTGTTTAACAGTCGTATATTTGTCCACTTAAGCCTAAGTGATTTCAGAAAGTTTTCATCATTTCAATCTGTATTCATACCGTGAATCTGTCTGTCTTGCGTCAGGCTGCAGAGCTGTCTCTGTGTGCGACAGACGGGGAGTCACATCTCTCCTCTATTTTTAGACGTGTTTAAAGTCCACACTTATTATTTCATGCATAAACCGTGATTTGAATTTCATTTCAAACACCTGAACACTCTCGCTTTATTTATATGACTTCGACATCTTCAAACCTTCGGCGTTATGACTGCAGCTCGTCTGATGTACGACACACACACACACACACTGTCTGAAAGTGTGTTTAGTTATTGAGTTGCAGCTCTGGAAGATAATGGTGTGCTTGAGTGAAATTCGGCTGGAAACAGGAAAAGCTCTGGAGACGCAGAATATATTACACTCTCAAAATAGAGCCTTAATAAGAACATAAACAAACATGCACACACACACAGACACACAGTGAGCTGCTGAAGGCCGAACGGAGACACGTTTCAGCTTCTTTCAGGGTTTACAGTGTGTGTGAGACAGGTGTCGTTCACTACACGGCTCAGGTTTGATGTTTGTTCCCAGAACATTGCTGTGAGCCTCAGAGACGTTTGTCTTTTAAATCACCGTCTTATCCATCTGTCTGTAATGTTTTCAGTGTGTGTTTGAGCGATATTCGTTGTGTTGGTTTATCTGATGATGTAATCTTGCAGTTCGTACCTGTAACAGAGACAGACAATCAGCTCAATCGGTTCAATGCATGATAACTACAATTCCCATAATGCTCTTGGGGTCGCAGCACTCTGTGTGTGTGTGTGTGTGTGTGTGTGTGTGTATCTGGGTCAGGATCTGTGTGTCATTACCGGTTGAACAGCGCACACTAGCGGCACATCTGTGAATCTCTCACACAGCCTCTTCATTCTCTCGCTTCATCTGCTCTTTCACACGCCCCGCTCTTTAATTCATCTTTTCCCTCTTTTTATGTAGACCATTATTTCCATTTTTGGCCATATTTCCTCCAGCTGTCTCTCTCTCCTGTCTGTCGTTCTGTGGTCGATTTATGAATATTGCTCTTTTCTCCTCCCCTGCTGTCTGCCCCACTTAAACACAGCGAGAGATCACCAAATTAATTCACTTACAATGAGCTTTGTGTGTGTGTGTGTGTGTGTGTGTAAGGGCACAGTGGAGCTCTACTACATTTGCATGACCTAAAAATGCCCTTCTACCAATTTTACCCCATTCATCCATGAAGAAAGATAGACAGAACTACAGAACGACCGATAGATAGATAGAACAATAGATAGATAGAACGATCGATAGAACGATAGAACAATAGATAGATAGATAGATAGATAGATAGATAGATAGATAGATAGATAGATAGATAGATAGATAGATAGATAGAAAGAAAAGAAAGACAGGCAGATAATGCAGGTAGACAGATGAACACTGCCAGTGTGAGATCTCAGCAGTGACTGGAGCTTTAGCGTATCAGCAGTCGCACGCGTCACATTGAGTCCCGTGAGATCGTCCCACACGCTCACTGTCACCTGCTCTCGATTTCATCTCAAATAAACATCCTGCAGACTCCAAACGCACTCACACTAAACATAGACACAGGGAGATGCAGCCACGAGCTGAACACACACACACACACACCGCTGCCGCTGGAAACTCTCGAAATGTAGTTAAATTACAGAGACACCAAGTACAGTGTAAATGTATAACACATCTCCTGTGAATAATGACTCTGTGTGGATGTCTGAATTAATACAGAACACGTTAATTAACCAAGAGCTTTTCAGCAGTCAGGAACCGTCACGGCAGGGACCAGACAGCCGAACGACACTCAGACAGCTGTTTCTGAAGACAGACAGACAGGAAGAGAGAGAGAAAGACAGTTTGAAATTATTCCGTGATGGAAACTGTTTCCTGTTGGTTCGTTTGTGCTCTGCTCGTTTGAGAAACAGTGAGCTTCGCTCTTACAGCGCTCTGACAGAATGGTGTCAAACATGCGCGTGCGTGTGTGTGGGCAGGTACACACACAAACGCACAAGGCAGGGAACAGTTTGTGCGGCTGCATGCTCAAACTCTTCAGCACAGAGCTGTTAATTAGTAGCAGGGCCAAAATTAGCACACAAAAGTGAATCGTTTGAGGACAGAAAAGATTCACCATCAAAGAGTTTCCACTCAACACAGAGATCTGAAGAGAGAGAGAGAAAATAACAGCTGGGGATGAATTCTGCAACCATTTGGTTGTTGTGAAATGAAATATCGTTACCTCCATGTGCTGTACTTTTCAAAAAGCGAGTGGTTACAAAACTGAACCAGATGCGAGGTGTTTCTGGTCAAAGACAAAGCATCTCTAAAAGACTTCTTCAGATGACACTGCACTTATTACACTTCTCCAAATTGCTTTACAAATAAAAAACCCACAGAGGCAGTACTAAGGTACAGTGATGTATCAGATGGAAATATCGGTCATGCATATCACTGATAAAATATTGTCAAGGAAATGTAACATTCCTTACTACTATATCAATGAATTATTTTGTTTTTAAAAGTCTGCATGACTTAAAAAATAGGAATGCATCTCTCACCTGTCCTGCCCATCCACTCTGTTTGTATAAATGCACAAATATCTGAACTTACAGTGGTAAATTATGATATGCCACAAAGCTCTGTATTAGGTCCGTTTCTCTTTCTCTTGTTCATGCTCGCAGCGGGTGATTCATCAGGGCTGAATGGGGTTAGTTTTCATTGCTTCATTGTATTTTGAGAAAAGAAGTGTGACATTTGATATATACAAAAGTATCATTAACTAGAAAATGATATATTTATAGTAATTGATATACTTTATCATCTAAAAATATAAATATTTTGCACTCATACACCTTTAAACTAACTGATTTGTTTATTTGTATTTTATCTGTAAACGGTGTAAACTTTGTGGGAATGTGTGGAAAATTAACATTTGTGTAATCTTTTTTGACAGTATTACACATCATATGATCAAAAAAAACTATTTATTTGTGTGTACATCTAGTGAGATGTGTATATTTACTCGATTCAAAATCTGAGGAGGAATTACTTTAGACAGGAGTCCGTTAGCATGGCAGATTTAACTCTAAATCACTAAACTCGTTATGCACACTAATTAATGAGTTTTCTAAGAGGGCGGTGCTAAAGTCTTTGTTGGCCGTGCTAATAAAAGGACTGTTTAGATCTGTGAATAACACAGAGGGGAGAAACTTTGATCTGAAGAGTAAACAGATCCGTCCGCATAATTAGCCGTGAATCTAAATAAAATGCTAAGCTCCGGGGACTCACATGAGAAAACAGAACGAGAGTGTGGAAAGGACTTTATTTAATGCTGTTTTATCTCATTGTCCTTGGAGACCAATTGCTCAGGTCTGACGGTGTGAGAAGCTCCCGAATCTAATCAGTCAAGCAATCAGTCAGTCAATCATCAGCTGTCATGTGCACAGACAAACTACTGTAATGAAGCACACTTGTTTACACTTCAGGGTAGCGCATTGAATATGATGTGATTAAAGATGAGGCTGCGCGGGATGGCAGGAAACTCAAGGGTGTTGGGTTGGGATGATTAGATGTGATTTAGGACATGGACCTGCTTTGATGAGAATAAGTGCAAACAACAGCACACAAGCAAGTCCAAAATCAACATGTGCCAAGCCAAATGTAAGGAAAAATAGGCTTTGGCAAATCCAACAAAAAAATTATTACTCTCCGGTTCACTGCAACATAATACATAGTTTAAAATATAATGTAAGAACGATTGTGGTACTGATGAAAATGACTCAAATCAAACAGCCTACTGAAGACGTTATCTTGAACTAGCAATTGTGAGAAATGATTTTAATTGTGAATTTATTGTGTTTTTGAAAACAGTGGATAATGTATCATCAGATGTCACTTTTACTGACATGTAACACGTTTCTGTTTTGTTCTTGTCTTCCAGGTGAGATTCTGAGGAGTTTTATTCTTTCATTCCTCTGGCCGGAGACAGCTCAGATGACGAGGGTTTCATGAACGGTAAGACTGAAATCCAAATGCATCTGATGCTGGAAATTGTGTATCATGGCTCTAGCTTGGGGAAATCATATTTTCAGCTCCAAAATATAGAATGTGATTTAAAACACTTAAAAAAAAAAGTGCAGCGTGAACCCAGCACGTTCACTAATGTTAGATTGATGGTTGTGTGGCATAAATTAATATTTGACTTCCAATATTTGGTTCAAGCGATAAGGCCTATAACTCTTGACTAGGCAGAACATCGTGGTGTGTTGCTTGGGGTTTTCCCACTGCATTTAACCTCTGGTTTATTGTCTGCTTAACCCCCGATAGCTCTGGGGCAGGGTTAACACCAGGGTTAAACCCAAGATTGCACTGCTAAAGCTATAGAGTGCAGAGCGACGCAGTGTTGGAATATAAAGACCGATTGTTTATCAACAAACAAATGAGCAATAATAAACTGAATGGCCTAATTAAACATTCACATGCTTTGTACAGCCACTGAAACTGCTTTGATTGACTCCTTATCACCTACACATAAAAGACAGAGCACAGTTCTGATGATATACAGTATTTTGACATTCAAAGTAATTAGATTCAGTATCTTTATGGATACATCTTTATGGAACTACACTGTGCAACACAAAAACAAAATAATCAAAAATAAACCAATAAAATGATGCAATAGACTCAACCCAGTGTTTGCGTAGAAAAAAAAATACCCTGCATTTTTAGAGTGTAGTCTTTTGAAGTCTGTATGCTGGAGCAGAGATCATTAAACATGTGTTTATATGCTTGAATGACCATTTACAACCTGAAAAACAAAACGTCACATATAATGTATGTTTATGAAATAATCGTATCACATCATTTTCAGTAAAGTACTAAATAATCTCTTGCCGTGTCCTACTTAATGTGTGCGCAGACACATTGTTATATATACATGTATATTATGTATTATGTTATGTTATGGTATCATAATAAACATACAGTTATTCGCTTAAAACCAAAATAAATACATTTAAAACACCTTCATTTACACTAATATTACACTCAAGAAAAAAATAAGTATGTAGATAAATAACACGCACACAAACATCCTGCGTTTAAGGATAACTAAAATAACTGTAAGTTCATCGACTGTCTGTGTCACAAATATGACTATAAACAGGAAACACACTGCATAAGCTGTTTGTGAACTCAGTCCAGCAGAATTATACTGATAAAACTCATTAACACAAAAGTTAAATAATTGAATTAAAAACATGTTCATCATACATTATGTTCTGAAACATGGCAGCTGGTTTAAACTGGTCCAGAGCTGGTTATCAGCTGGTTTAAGATGGCCCTGAGTTAGTTATGAACTGGTTATCAGCTGTTTTAAACTGGTCCAGAGCTGGTTACCAGCTGGTTTAAAATGGTTATCAGCTGGTCCAGAGCTGGTTATCAGCTGGTTTAAGCTGGTCTTTAGTTGGTCATGGGCTGGTTTAAGCTGGTCCTGAGTTAGTTATGAGCTGGTTATTCAGCTGATTTAAGATGATCCTGAACTGGTTATCAGCTGTTTTAAACTGGCCATGAGCTGGTTATCAGCTGGTTTAAGATGGTCCTGAGTTGGTTATAAACTGGCTTAAGCTGGTCCTGAGCTTTTTATAAGCTGGTAATCAGATGGTTTAAGCTGGTCCTGAGTTGGTTATAAACTGGATTAAGCTGGTCCTGTGCTTGTTATAAGATGGTTATCAGCTGGTTTAAGCTGGTCCTGAGTTGGTTATCAGCTGGTTTAAGCTGGTCCTGAGCTTTTTATAAGCTGGTTATCAGCTGGTTTAAGCTGGTCCTGAGTTGGTTATAAGCTGGTTTAAGATGGTCCTGAGCTTGTTATAAGCTGGTAATCAGCTGGTTTAAGCTGGTCCTGAGCTTGTTATAAACTGGTAATCAGCTGGTTTAAGATGGTCCTGAGCTTGTTATAAGCTGGTAATCAGATGGTTTAAGCTGGTCCTGAGCTTGTTATGAGCTGGTTATTCAGCTGATTTAAGATGATCCTGAACTGGTTATCAGCTGTTTTAAACTGGCCATGAGCTGGTTATCAGCTGGTTTAAGATGGTCCTGAGTTGGTTATAAACTGGCTTAAGCTGGTCCTGAGCTTTTTATAAGCTGGTAATCAGATGGTTATCAGCTGGTCCTGAGCTTGTTATAAACTGGTAATCAGCTGGTTTAAGCTGGTCCTGAGCTTGTTATAAGCTGGTAATCAGATGGTTTAAGCTGGTCCTGAGCTTGTTATGAGCTGGTAATCAGCTGGTTTAAGCTGGTCCTGAGTTGGTTATAAGCTGGTTTAAGCTGGTCCTGAGCTTGTTATAAGCTGGTAATCAGATGGTTTAAGCTGGTCCTGAGCTTGTTATGAGCTGGTAATCAGCCTGATTTAAGATGATCCTGAACTGGTTATCAGCTGTTTTAAACTGGCCATGAGCTGGTTATCAGCTGGTTTAAGATGGTCCTGAGTTGGTTATAAACTGGCTTAAGCTGGTCCTGAGCTTTTTTGTTTTGCGGTTGTTTTAAGCTGGTCCTAGGCTGGTTTTCGGCTGGTTTAAGCTGGTTATCAGCTGGTTTAAGCTGGTCCTGAGTTGGTTATAAGCTGGTTAAAGATGGTCCTGAGGTGTTTATAAGATGGTTATCAGCTGGTTTAAGATGGTCCTTAGTTGTCATGGGCTGGTTTAAGGTGGTCCTGAATTAGTTATGATCTGTTTATCAGCTGGTTTAAGATGATCCTGAACTGGTTATCAGCTGTTTTAAGCTGGTCCTGAGCTGGTTATCAGCTGGTTTAAGCTGGTTATCAGCTGGTTTAAGCTGGTCCTGAGTTGGTTATAAGCTGGTTAAAGATGGTCCTGAGGTGTTTATAAGATGGTTATCAGCTGGTTTAAGCTGGTCCCGAGTTGGTTATAAGCTGGTTTAAGCTGGTCCTGAGGTGGTTATAAAATGGTTATCAGCTGGTTTAAGCTGGTCATGTGCTGATCCTAAGCAACTAGCTCCTGCTCAGGACCAGCTTATAACCAGCTAAGGTCCAGCTTAAACCAGCTGATAACCAGCTTAAACTAGATGCCATGCTTAAAATCATACCTAACCAGTATATGCTGTTTTTTCAACAGGATAGACATGAATCGTATGAAGAAATGAATGTAGAAATGGACAGATAAATAACTACAGAGATGAAACTAAGAGATTCAAGATCTGACAGGCAGATACGTGTGTGTTTCTGTTCTCAGTAGCCTGTCCGTCTGTGTGTGTGTCTCAGGTGCGGTCTGGCTCGGAGCGTGTTGTGAGGATCCAGATGGAACCTGCGTGAACCTGCGGGCGGCAGCGAGTGTAAGTCCAGTGAACAAACACTGAACACACAAATTCACGTCTAACTCACTCCAGCACTGACATAGAGTCCTGCAAAAACATGAAATAATACATTGTTCACTTACTGTACATTTATAATCAAGATCAGTGTTTCTCATCACATAGCTGAGAACACACACACACACACACACACACACACACACGTGCACATCTGATAGGTCTTAATAGCGCCATTAGACCTGATCATAATTAAACTGATGATCTGTTTTAATTCACCTCTAGCGTTAGATAGATGCAGTGTGTTATTTTGTTTTTTCTCCATCACAATAATTTCCAGCAACAGCAGTTGTTTTAAGCTTTACTGTATTTAAAGTGGTCGTGAACTGCCTTTTTTATTGTTTTGTACTGTTCTCTGAGGTCCACTTATAATGATATCAAGATGTTTGCATCTCCTCCACGCCTATTCAAACAGAGAGTTCTGATGAGGGGTCAAAAGAGCACAGAAAATATGTGTTTTCCTTGATCTATCCTGTTTAATCCTTCATTTGTGGTTCTGAAGTTTTAGAGGAGTTGCCGTTCTTATATTTACACTTTAGTCTCAGTTGCTTGACGAAAATATTTACATTTTAATATAATTTAATATGTTTTTAAGTGTAGTGGGAAAATAATAATAATAATAATAAATCAGTTTCTTCTTGCTCATTTTTAAATGGCTTTTGTATAGAGCTCTTATTCTTTCACTCTGTTCCAGAGTAACTGAGATTCAGCGTCCACTTTTAAATGCTGATAATTAAATAATTATTAAATCTTTAATTATTGAAGACTATTCACTCAGTAAAATGTGACATGCTTAGCAATGCAAAGCTAAATAAAGCATGCTACTGTAACCTAGGCTCATATTATTACGTTTATTAGCTGTTTGTTTTGTTATTATGCTGACAGAAATACAGTCAAACAGATGCTGTCAAAACAAGGTTTCTGGTGAACAATGAATATAAATGTGTCTTAAAGTATTCATCCTTAATATCAAAGCAGCTGAAGATTTCATTGGTGAACCGACAGACGTCTGTGTTTCTGAGTCGTTTGAACTGATAATGAGCACAAGCATGCAAACGTTCTCTACATCATGAGTTTATTTCCATCTCGTGTTTGTTTCTCTTTTAATGCGCTCTGTTCCTGTAGCTGCGTCTGACATGAAACTTTTAATTTCTTTCTTTATTTAAAATGTTTCTCTGGAGCGGATGTCACATCTAAACACACACACACACACACACACACACACACACACACACACACAGACAGACTTCTGTTTTAATACTGAGCTAATGATATTTGCTCTGTCATGACTTTAAACCCCAGCACTAACCTTTCACATTAAATAGTCATTAATAATGATGATCTTTGCTCTATCATAGCCTAACCCTCACACAAACCTTTCTGCATTTCCATAGTTTCATTAAGAGTGCATATTACATTCATTTTGATCTGGTTTTGATAAGGGCTCAACTTGAACATGTGATAATCGTGTGATGAATGGTGTTGTAGTGCAGCTGTCATCATGAGCTCCACCAGCAGATGTCAGTGTAACACCACTGAACACACACACACACACACACACACACTATTCCTGCAGTGCTCTGTGTGCTGATGTTCTTTTATCTGTCTGGAGGCTTCACACCAGCTACTTGATTTTCAGAAATAAGCAGTTTACACTTTACACATGGCTAAAAACGCAGAACAACATTCAATACTAAGATGAAAACTGGAATCTACTTATAAACAGCATCACCTGACAACAGTGTATCATCGCATACTACCTTTAGAATGCTGTTTCAGTCTGTAGTATGTACTGTGCAGTGTTCAGTGAGCGAGTGATCTATTCTGAACACACGTTTGGAACACTTGACCTTCTCTTTCCAGCCTGATGAATGAACCACAGACAATACCAACTCTGATTTTTCATTCTTAACTAATAATTTAGTAAAGTAAATGGTATGCCTGCATTTGGATTCAAAAAAGTTAATGATTACAAAACGATGAAAATTGTTTTATTCTGATTATTAAGACTTGTCTTACTGAAATAGGATCATAATGAGACCTTTGAATGTGCTTAGCAGTTATTTTTAATAGTTTTTTATGTAAATATAGACCAGATTATCCCTAACTTGGTGTTACAAACTGTTTTAGAAATCAGTTTTTAATGGCACAGTGATGGATTTTCATTCGTAGCAGACATCATTAAATATAATAAGGCAATAAGGCAGTAAATAAGGAAGCAAGTATTCAATATCAGCTCATGTAGTTACTATAAGAAACAGACTGTCAGTAAGAAATGTACACACTTTATCACTGCAGGCATTTTCTGGGGATCAAACCCATAACCTTGGTGTTGCTAGCGGCTCGCTCGACCGTTTGAGCTACATAAACTGTAGAAAAAACTTAATAAACAAATCAGCCGTTATCATTTTACGTTTATTTGTGTAGATGATGTTTATCAGTGAAAAAACAAAACTGTGCTTAAATAGATGTTTAGCCAAATGTTCACGCTGCTCTCTTCCACATAGTGTAAGTGAAAGAACAGCATTTGTCAAGCAGGGTTGTATGGCACATTTATCAAATAATAAGGACGCCTACTGGTCACTGCATGCTCGAGTTTATAATTCCTCCAAACGGTGTATATTCTGCAGCGCCGCAGGTCTCCAGCAGGTGGCAGTGTGATCACGCTGACGATTCCTGGACGGGGATTTGAGAAAGCCAGTCCCTCTCCAGTCCTCATCCTCGCTTCTGTAAACCGCATGTGTGTTTGTGTGCCATCTGTGACTGTCAGTCCTTTCCTAGTGTTCTCTGAATTCAGTCTGTCCTCCTCTCCAGAAAGCCTCTGTCTCTCTCACCGTTCTGCTGAATGGGTTTTCTCTCTTTTATCATTGTTTTGTTGTGGGGTTGTGTTTTGTCTGATCATTGTCTCTGATGCAATCGCGTGCAAACGTTGCTCCTGTGGTGTAGATGTGTGTTTCTGCTCGTCTCATTGGGTTCGAGGTTCTAGTGTGCTGTTTATCCACACACACACACACACACACACACACACACACACACATATGTTCTGCAGTAGGTTTGGGGCTGAAGTCTTTCCATGAAATATAACAACAGCAAGATTTGTTCTGTCTCACTGATGTTGCTGTTTCTAGGTGTTTTCTTCCTGTCTGGTGCTGATGTTTCAAACTTGTTCAGATTACTATGAGCAATAACAATACCGATGCTTGACTTCCTAAACACCTCGAAGATGAACAATAATATGCAATTATCCTTGGCTTTTTCGGCACTGAGTGTCTCTGAACATGAATACATGTACTGATGACACACAGACGCAGGAAGGTGGGCTCCATGCGAGCTCCAGCTTCATCATACTGCGTGTGTTTGTCAGTATCAGACGCGAGAATCAGTCTCTCACTGTGGCATCAGAATAGAGTTGATTAGGTGCCACTCTCGGGAGA